CGCTAGGTGACGCAATGATGGTGCATCTATCAGTCCTGGAGTCAGGAGGACCTGATTTCAAATCCAGCCTCAGACACTTACTAGCTATGTGACTCTGGGCAAGTCATTTTACCTTTTTGCCTCAGTTTCCTCATTTGTAAAATGAGCTGGTGAAGAAGATGGCAAATCACTCCAGTATCTTTGCCAAGAAAATCCCAAATGATTGAAGAACAACACAGGATCTGCCACGGCTTGCAATCTCTACCACTCCACCCCAGGCCCCATCTCCCTCTATGGCCTTTGAGAACCCAGAGTCATATTCACCCCATGATAAAGAACCAAAAGAAGACTCAATTAGAGTCAGAACTTAATGTTTGCCAAACTGTGTAAATATTGGAAAAGGGATCTTGGCACAATCAAATTTTTTCAATGGCATCAATAAAACTTAAAAATAAAGGACAGCTTAATTTTTCCTGGCACAGAGAAGACACTTAAAAAAATGTTTGTTGAATTGACTTGAATTTTTGAAAACTATTTCTGGCCTAGTCTCAGAATACCATTTCTAATCCAACTTGACCCCTCCTCATGTTCTTAGAGAATCTGTCCATTCCCACAGCTGAAGAAGTTTTTAATCCACCCCAACAACTTTACTTTGTCCCTTTGGTCTGGTTATTTAGTCCCTAAATATGCAAAAACTCTTATAAAGCTCTAGTTGATTATACCTGCCACATTTCTCTAGGGATTTTAGTCCAAGTCTTTAAAAAGGAAAAAAAAAAAACACTCTAGGAGGATGGTCCACACTTCATGTCGGCTGCTCACTGAAAATGGAAGACAGGCATTTATCCAATTTGGAGACTGCTTTATAGCCAGACATTTAGGAGAGCTTGCTGGCAAAACAGGTGAACTTCTGAAACAGCCTTTGGTTCTGAAAGTGGTCTCTCCTGGTTCCGCCTTGGATGAAAGTGGTAATCATACCAGCACTTTCCTTTCCCTTGAATGGTTCCCATTTCTAGTGAGCAACTATGTGTTTCTGTCAGTGGTCAAAGACTTTTTGTTCCTTTACAACACTGGGAGGTGTTCTAAATTACATTAAATTAAGCTAAGCACATTTCTTATGGCCCTTGTGATTTGTTTCATGGAGGTTCCTTCTCTGTTAATGCCATTTCTGGGACCAGCCAAGCAGCTCTCACGACCAAGGATATACCCCTGCCCGCTTGAAAATTCTCCTGGAAATAACAGCTCATATTTCGCTGCAGCTCAAAGTATAGTATCCTCCTCACAAGAACCCTGTGAAGTTGGGAGTATAAATATTATCGTCCTCATTTTACATATCAGGAAACAGGTTTGGAGGAGAGAAAGGCCTCGCACATGGACACATAGCTAGTAGGTGTCAGAGCCAGGATCTGAATCCAGGTCTCTTCGGACCCCTTATCTAGTACGACATCAACCCTCTGTAAAACAGTGGAACAGAAAATGGGATTTATCGCGGCCTCACTATATTGTCAACCAAGTACTTAGTATCAACAAGTGATTACTGTTCATCTCTAAGCGTTATGAGACACACCAGTGCCTCCCCTCAAAGAGCTTACCATTCAGTTTAGCAGAAATGAAATAAATAGGTAAATTAACTAATAATAAAATACACTGGAGGATTAGCAGCAAAATGGGCCATCGGGCTTCCGAGGGGGGCTGGGAGGATCTGACCTCTGCGGGTGGCTGAGCAGGACTTCCAAAGGCAGAGAGGATGAGCGAGGCCAAGTCACAGAAGCAGCAATGAGCAGACGGAGAGGGAGACTCAGATGGGCCTCCAGCTGTACCAGTGATACGTATGTGTGATGTGTACCATATGTATTCAGAACCTCGGCATAAACACCTGAAAAGCACATCCAAGCCTACGTCGATGCACAACATGAAAATGATGGAATTCTAACTTTAAAAAAGAAAGAAATCCTTTACTACTGGGAAAATAGGTCAAACGAGATGGTTTACAAAGGAAGGAGACTCTGAAATAGCACATTTTGTGCATCTTCTGAACCACACACACTTCTTGGTGGAAGCTATATTTAGATCAGCCCGCTAACTAGGTGGCAGCAAACAGATGAAACAGAGGGTGGTTACCTGGGCTCCAAAACATGCAAAATAAGTAGAATTGATTTATTGCCTTCATTGCTCTACAGCATAAGAACTGGTGGAGTTTTTATGGCATTTTCCTGCAGGAAGCATCTAATATGAATTAGAAATCTAGCCCTTGCACGACTATTTTTTGGAAATCTTATTAGGAAAAACCAAGAGTCAAAAAGATCTGGTGCTGAAAGGTAAACTTGGTTATTATTGCCACACAAATGCCACTGCAATGCAAACTTAGGTGAACCTGCAATAGCCGCTGGTGGGTCTTCCTGCCTCAAGTCTCTGCAATCACCAAAGTGATTTCCCTAAAAGCTCTGGTCTGATCATGTCACTCCTCTACTCAATAAACCAGAGAGGCTCCCTATCACTTGCAGGATCAAATACAAACCCTTGGCTTTTCTTTCGAAACTTCATAACGGGGCCTTTCTCCGCCTTTTCAGTCTACTTTTCTTACACGTTCTCCCTTCCACAGCCTTGACCCAGTGACACTGGCTTCCCTGCTGTTCTTCACACGTGACTTGCCTTCTCCTGACTCTGGACATTTTCACTGCCTGTACCCCATGCCTGGAATGCTCTCCCTCCTCCTCTCTGCCTCCTGGCTTCCTTCAGGTCCCAGCTAAAAATCCCACCTTGTGCAAGAAGCCCTTCCTGGTTCTCCTCAAGCTTAGTGACTTTCCTCTGAGATCGTACAGAGTTATCTGCATGTTGTTTCCCCCATCAGATGTTAAACTCCTCGAGAGCAGGGACTATTTTGCTTTTCTTTGCATCCCCAGTACCTGGCACAATGCCCAGCACACAGAAGGCCCTCTGTAAATGTTTACTTCCTTGTCACTGGGTTTTTTCCCTTCCTGACAGCCCTTATATTTTACAGACACTTTGTGAAGCTGCAGTTACAGTCCCTGGCCTTGCTTCCACTCTAGTAGGACCAGGGAGAATTCCTCTCTGAGTTTTCTAAAAAATGGATGGGACCTAGACTTCAACGAGTTCAGTTTCCTCCTTTTACAGATGAGGAAACTAAGGCAGTGGGAGCCACTAGACCATCCCACGTACCAGTCATATCAGCAATCCCTATCATGTCCCCAGGAGAGTACCCAAGGCTCTGTCCCGAATCCTCTTCTCTTTCCCCATTCTTGTGGCAATCTCATCAGCTTCCATTGGTATAACCACCATCTCAATGCAGATGACTCTCAGATCTAAATAGCTCACCCTGACCGCTCTCCTGACCATCAGTCCCACATCGCCCCCATCTCCACCTGATAGGTGCCTCAGACCTAACATGTTCAAAATGAAGCAATGATCCTCCCCATTCACCTCATCTCTACTCAAAACTGCCCTCATTCTGCTGAGGGCACAAGCACTTTTCAATCACAATACCAGAGTCAACCTTGACCCTTCTTTCTCCCATACCCCCTCTATCCGCCTGCCCAGTCTTGCTGTGGGGATGGAAGCAACACTTTCTGTCTGTTTCCTTCTTTCAACTCATTCAACTGTCTCCTTGATTCACAACCTTATCAACATTTGTCTGGACTATTCTAATAGCCCCCCCACCCCGGCCTTTTTTGCTTTTTGGTGAGGCAATTGGGGTTAAATGACTTGCCCAGGATCACACAGCCGGTATGTGTCAAGTGTTTGAAGCCAGATTTGAACTCAGGTCTTCCTGATTCCAAGGCCAGAGTTCTATCCACTGTGCCACCTAGCTGCCTTCTTTAAAAGCCTCTTAATCAATCTTTTCTCCCTCTGATCCATTTTCCAGCTAGCTACAAAAATAATCTTCCTAAGGTATTATATAATTGATGTTCCCCTCAACTCTCAAAAACCCTCAGTGGCTTTCTTCTTCTTCTAGGATACTCCTAGGATAATAAAATACAAATTTGTCAGCCTGGCATCTGAAACCTATAATCTAAATCCAATTTAACTTTCCAGATTTCCTTCATATTACTCTCCTTCAGGAACTTTACGTACGGGACAAACTGGTTAGTTAGAACTCCACACTCACTCTCCGTGCATTTGCAAAGATAACATCTCTACCTATTGTAATCTTTAGCTTCATTAAAGGCTCAGCTTATAATCCACCTAAAATGTGAAGATTTCCTCGATTCCGCCCCTCCAACAGTGAGTGTGCATCCCTTTCTCAAAATGCCTAGTATTGTCTGTTTCTGCATTGAATTCCCTCAAAGGAATATAAACTTCTTGAGGGCAAGAAATGCTTTGTTCATGTCGTTCTCTCTCCATGCCTTGCACTGCTACTTGCACAAGGTAGTTGGTTAATAAATAAATATTTGTTGAAATGAATTCTAAGAGGGGTTCCCAAGTGGTTATTTTTGAGGCTGAGCTGGCTGCAGAAAGAGTAGCTAACAGCTGTTGTTCTTCCATTCTGTTGTCTTGCCAAGAGGACGTTTCCTATGAGGGGGGAACACTGGGCCAGGGCACTTCTTAGGGGGTTGCAGGCAGATGCCCGGACAGGGCCTCTTCCCTGAAGGCAGTCAAATCAATGACCGGGTGGACGCGTGTTGGAGCAGAATCAACCAATCAAACCAATGTGTAGGGGGCAGCTAGGTGGCGCAGTGGATAGAGCACCGTACCTGAAGTCAGGAGGACCTGAGTCCAAATCCGGCCTCAGACCAAAAACTTGACACTTACTAGCTGTGTGACCTTGGGCAAGTCACTTAACCCCAACTGCCTCACCCAAAAAAAAAAACAACACAAAAAAAAAAAAACCCAATGTGTTAAGCAGCTACTCTGTGACAGGTGTAACTCCTTAAAGGCCTCTTCTTTGAGTCCCACCTATGGAGCGACAATGGCCAACCACTCTCCACTTTGCTTTCCCGGGTCAGCGTCAACAGGCTTACACTTAACTGGAAGGCAATGAAGGGTTCAAGGCACGCTTTACTCACTGTTCGGCCACGCTGTGGTCGAGGGAATCCGTTTCAGTGGGTGTTTCGGGGAGGGAGCCGGATTCCTGTATCTGGCACAATTCCTCATCGGTGATGATGTCAAACACGGCATCATCGGGGGGTCGGGAGTCTGGAGGTGCCGCTGCATCGCCACCGTCACCACACATGTGAGAAGGAGAAGAAACACAGGGACCATTAAAGACAGCTCGAGAAGGCTGCCCTTCTCACCTTCACCTGGTCATACCCTGGAGGAAGCTAGCCCTGGAAATGGTGCCAGGAAAGCAGCAGGACTTGGCACAGGTATATATGTGTGTGTGTATACGCACCTACACACACATACATACCTATGGAGAGAGATACAGAGATGTTTAGATAGCAAGACTGATGCTAGCTGGCCCCTTGTGCACAGAGTGCTGACTCATCTTCCTGAGCTCAAGTCTGGCCTCAGAAACAGAAAACTCCACCTTTTGGACCCTTGAGGGTCCAGGCCTGAAAGATCCTGGATGAAGACTCAGGCCTTCTCAGCACACGTCAAAAGGACCTCTCCAAAAGCAGAACAAACCCTCCTGTAACTCACATTTCCAGCAGAAACCCTTGGGTGAGTTTCAAGCACAAATGACAATCTGTTTACCAGTCAAAATGTGCAGTGACTGCACTTTTGCCGGTGTGACTTGTACCTCTGACTGCGTAAACTGGTTAGTAAGACAACAGTGCAGCTGATGTGCTGATGTCAGCCGCATGAATCAACCCACCTGCAGGCCCCAGGCCTGGGAAACACCAGGACAGGTCTAAAAGAAACTAGGTGACAAGAAACCAGGAGGCACAGGAAGTGAGAAAGAAAAACAAACCCCAGGACATTGGTCGGTAAGAATAATTCCCGTGTTAATAGCACTTTGTGGTTTACAAAGCACGAGGCTCACCACAATCCTGTAAGGCAGGAGATATACCCCAAATCCTCATTTCATAGATGAGGAAGATAAGTAGAGAGAGATTAAATGACCCACACGTGGCCGCATGGGGAGGCAGAAGAGCTTGGCGCTCTGACCCTAGGCCTGCGGACCCTCCCACACCACCACTCAGCCTCTAATCTTCAGACTCAGCCTGCTCTGCGCCAACAGATAGGGCATCACTGTGGTTCCTCCCCATCAAAGTATGAAGGGTGGGACGAACACTGGGAGGATGACTGGTCACTTTTTTTTAAAATTGTGGATGATAAGGATATGGTCTCCAGATTAGGAGGCCTATTCCACTGCTCATCTTTGCTCCTTGCCTCTCTGACCTAGCCATTCTTCTTATGGTAGGCGGATCTCTCACTGAATAATGAATGGGAGCAAACCTCAAGAAACAAGGGAAAAAAGAAATGGAACCTCTCAACCAGCTTCATAAGGAACCTTCCCACACTTACTTGTCCATTTGAGTTTGAGAGGAGCAAAAGAGAGGCCAAGGAAGGGAAAGAAAAGGATGTAAACCGCTACATAAATACACAAAGCAGACCTCTCTCTACTTGGTGTGCATTGAGTTATTATGGGACCAAAGTAACTGACCACACTGGCCTTCCTGAGGATCTGGCTAAATCAGGGCTTTAACCTTTTAGGGTCACAGACTCTTCTGACAGTGTCTGGTGAAGCCTCTGGACCCCTTCTCAGAATCACGTTCTTAAATGCATCAAACATATAGAATTACAAAGGAAACCAACGATGTTGAAAAACAGTTACCAATATGTGTTTCTTAGGAAAACATGCTTGCCAACCCTAGGCTAAGAGCCCCTGACCTCAAGGCTGAATGACCCCCTTTCTCAGTGATACAGATTACAAGCCCTTCACATCTCAGGGGACAGTTTTCATGAATTATAGCTGAAAAAACTCATCACTCTGTGCCCAGTGGCGTGATGACAAGCCTCTCCCGAATGATCCAGCCTGGTCTCCTGACAGCAGATACGTGATCTCACTGGGTCCCCGTTTCAGTCTGACCTGGTATGCCAGAGCTTATGTTACTGGCCTAACTTTCCCTAACCTAAGGTAATCCTCGAGCCCCGGAGAAGCAGTGGAGGACTTTACCGGAGGATGACCCAAGAGCGTCTGCCATTCCCTTCAGCTTTGCTAAAATCCTGATGCTCTTTCTTACATCTTTCAGATTCCTATATTCATGCACATGTGTCTTCAGCAAAAACTGGGAAGCTGTTTCAGGTAAGAAATAACTTTAGATGTATTTTCAGTATGAAAACTAAAAAACTCCCAGCCCAATAGAACACAAAGCGGGGGGGGGCCTGAAAAACAGTGGAAGAGGAGGGGAAAGGCCTGACCTCTGACTGCGGCCGCCAGGTCACCTGAGGACATGGATGGAGAGGAGAGGAGCTCGCCCTGGGAGGCGGCTGAGCCAGAGCTGTCTGGGGAGCCAGACCCTTCCGTGTACTTCCTGAAGCAGGCCCGGCAGCAGCGCTCCTTCTTGCCACTGCGCTTGGCCATGACATAATTGTTGCAGCAGTAATAACAGAAGATGCGACCACATATCCTAAAAGCGAGAAGAGATTCAGAGAGCGAGGAAGGAACCTTGCCGTCAACAGCCTGGAATGCTGCGCAGGGAGCCCATCCCCCTCCGTTGGCTGGCTCGCCATTTATTTCTCTAACCTTTCAGAACAGTGCAGGGCCGTTGTGGTGGCCTGATAGAGAGGACGCTGGGCTAACAGTGAGCAGGGGACTCTGGGTCAAAGAACCAGAAGGGAGCTTGGAAGCCTGAGGCCAAGCCCCAGCCCAGGGGGTTAAATACACTTGCTGTGGCTGCAGCTAAATGACAGAACCAGGACCAGAACTTGAGTTTCTGACTCCACGTTTCTATTATACCACACTGCCTGTAAATAGTCCCAGATGTGTGACCTTGGAAAAGTCCCCTTAACTCTTCAGAGGCAGCTAGGTGGTGTCATAATGCACAGAGTGCTGGGCCTGGAATCAGGAAGACTTGAGTTCAAATATGGCCTCATGCACTTACTGTGTGATCTGGAGCAAGTCACTTAACCTCAGTTTGCCTCAGTTTTCTCATCTGTGAAATGGGGATAATAATAGCCCCTACCTCCCAAGGTTGTTGTGAGGATAAAATGAGATAATAATTGCAAAGCACTTAGCACAATGCCTGGCACATAGTAGGTGCTATGTAAATGTTAGCTAGTATTATTCAGGACTTCAATTTCAATTTTTTTTCTTTCTTAAAAAAAAATCTGAACAACAATACAGCTAACTATTCTTGCTTAGTAACTACTGATGTTTAAATTAACTTTAACACATCAACGATCAAAACAAGTTTTTGGTGACCCCCTCCATAAGTCATCTTCAGGACTTTCCGTCCATTCATTCTTATTTGATTTTCTGCTCACTGGGCTGAAGGTAGTGTGTATTCCAGTCTTCTTTTTCTGCTTCCTTTTCACTTTGCATTATTGTCTGATTTATTTTTTTATATTCCTCATACCTGTCTGTCTTAATTTCACTAAGTAAACTGCATTTAATTAATAATTTAATGCCACTAATCCTATTACATCATGTTAATACACTAGATGTCACGTTCAGAGCTGAAACAGCAATAACTTGTATTTGTACAGCACTTTTAGGTTGACAAAGTGCCTTTCTCACAGCGACCAATAAAAGCGACAGTACAATGACTATAAATCTCATTTTACCCATGAGGAAACCGAGGCTCACCAAGGCTGAGTGATTTGGTAAGGGTCAAAGAGTCTAAGTGGCAGAGGCAGGATTAGAATCCAGGCCTCAGTCTAGGCATCTGGTGCTCTTCCCATTCCGGTCCTACAGACCCTGCGGTGGCCGTACGGTATTCACAGACCTGCAGTGGTGCCGCCGGGTCATCCAGCTGAACTCCCTCTTACAATCCAAGCAGTGATTCACCTCTGTGTCTCCAAGCCACCTTTCTTCTGCACTCAGTTTTTGCTGGAATTCCAGGGCATCAGATTTTTGCCAAAGAGCATCCTTGTCCCTAATGAGGAAGCAGTTTTAAGGGAAAGAGAAAGAAAAAAAAAAGAAAAAGACCAAAACAAACAAACAAAAAAGGTTAGAGTTCCCCTTGCTTTATCCTGAACACTGATCCCAAATCTTCTGTTTTCTAATTCTTCTGTTTTAGAGAAGAACGCCCCCTATTCCAAGCATTCCTCTTTATTCCCCACAGTAACCAGCAAGGTGATGTAAACCAATTAAGTACTAACAAGCTCTTGTTAAATATGTCTGGACAATCAGAAAGGATCCCCAGAGCCTTCTCTCCTCACTTTGGTCTGATGTCCATGCTCTTTCTGCCCCAGGCAACAAGGCTGTGCCACGTCCTTGATTCTAAACATAGGGCCTTTGGTTCCTCTTTACCTGTGTCTCCAGGTATAAGGTCACAGAATCTCAGAGCTGAAAAGGATCTCAAAGGCCAGCTTGTTAAAACCACACCTCAACAACTGATTGACTCAGGCGGGCCAGATTGGGTCTCTCTCCACTAAAATCCAATCCAATCTGATAAACATTTATTAGGAGACTACCGTGGGCCAGGCACTGTGCTAAGCACTGATACAATTAATAAAAAGAAAGACAATCCCTACTCTCCAAGGAGGGTCTAAAGGGAGAGACAACACACAGGAGGAGACAGAAAGGGGAAAGGAGAAGGGAAGGGAATGAGCATTTGTATAGGGCCTCCTTTATAAACAGTAACAGCTAACATTTACAGAGCTCCTACTGTGTGCTAGGCATTGTGACACAGCTAGGAAGTGTCTGAGGCTGCATCTGAATCGAGACCTTCCTTACTCCTGGCCCGGTGCTCTATCCACTGTGCCCCCAACCTGCTTACAA